CCTAATGCTCCCATTTTAGGAGGAGGCCAATCTAGCCAGATTCCAGAAACCTTAAAGACCCAGAATGCAAACCCCTTCCTGGAGGGAGATGTTCCCACCCTCCACCCTGTCCCTTGTCTTTGGATACTTCACAAGGGTCTCAAAAGGCCACAGCTGCAGAGGCTAAAGGTCCATGGCACCTCCGAGGCTCTTGTCTGTGCCTCATCCGGGCATGAGAAGCAGCTGGAGTCTGGGGCCTCCTCCTAAACCAATTCCATCCGCCTGGGGGCTGGGGCCCGATGGCAGGCTGCTCAGAGCTCCCCATGTGCTTCCAATGTGCATCCAGAGCCCAGATCCATTGACTTGGGTCAGAAACCAGCTGGGGAGGGGGAGAGCGCGGAGGGGAAGGACCAAACACTCGAAGCACCTGCTGCCTGCTGAGGGCATTTAAGGCCGACCCAGGGGCCGGAGGCTGTGGCTTCCTTCTAGGTGAGTGGTGAGCGGGTGGGTGCCAGAAGCTCCGGGTGTGGCCGCGTCCTCCGTCTGGGCATTGACGGGATGCCTTGCTCCTGTTTGGGGATTGGGCGAGGCTGCTGTAGCCTTGTCCCCTCTGCAAAAGCCAGCGGCCTGGTTAGAGGGACAGCTCCCAGTGGGCCTAGGCTGGGTCTCCCCCTATTGAACTCAGCCTCGGTTTACAGAAACCGTGCTCAGTGGTGCTCGGCTTGCTCTCTGGGTGGGTGAGGAGGATGTGACCATTGTTGGGTGTCCATTTGCTCTGCAGAGGTGCATGGAGCCTGTACTCCTGCCCAGCTTTGCAAGCTTGCGAACCCATGCACACTGGGGCCGGGGTCAGTGGGCCCTTCCTGGAGAATGACCCTTGATCCAACCCCATGCATAGTTTTAGCTGAAAACAAATCCCACTTTGTTCAAAGAAGTGGCTGTTAGTGATACAGTTTTGAATATACATCAAAAGACGTTCCCAGTTAGGGTGCCTGTTTGGCTCAGTAGAGCATGTGATTCTTTTGTTTTAATTTTTTTAAATATTGTATTTATTTCTAGGAGAGAGAGAGACAGTGTGAGCAGGGGAGGGTCAGAGAGAGAGGGAGTCACAGACTCTGAAACAGGCTCCAGGCTCTGAGCTGGCAGTCAGCACAGAGCCCGACATGGGGCTCGAACCCATGAACTGCGACATCATGACCTAGGACGCTTAACTGACTAAGCCACCCAGGCGCCCCGTAGAGCATGTCATTCTTGATCTCAGGGTTGTGAGTTCGAGCCCCACTTTGGGCATACTTAAAGATGTCCACAGTACAGGCAAGTGGAGAAACGTGTGGCCAAACTGTCTATCAACCCTCCCTTCTATAATTAACCCCTTAGTAGGCATGTGACCTTTTAAAGGTTAACTTGGAGGAGGGATGGGTTATGGGAGTTAATGCTCAACCCATTTGAGGTATTGAATTTTCTATACCATGTGTTTCTATACCATGCGTTAATTTAAAATCTGAAAAATACTTTCTAGAAGCCGACTCTTGGATGATCTAGATCTTAATTGAAAACTGTTCTCACCTCTTGAAAGATGCTAACAGTCAGAGCTTAGCTAGATCTAGAGAAGTATTTAAAAATTGGCCTGTAACACCCCAACCGGAGAAAGTACTCCATGCCGTTAACAAGACTTAGGAGTCCCTAGTTTCCCTTTCCCCCAAAAGGAACAAAAGGTCAAGAGGACCTGGAAGACCATGAGCATGGCCAGGGACCCTTGGTGGAGCCTCTGCCACCTGCCCCTCTGGGGAGTCTCCTAGTGTGTGTAGCAGAGTTGGTTCGAGGCTGGAGATGTGGGTCAGGAAAGCCCCTATGTTGCCAATGTTTGCCTAAATAACCAGTTTGGCTTTCTTTGGATCTCAAACTCCGAGAACGGATGAAGACGGGTTCTGACTTTGATCTTGTGCCTAACTCCAAGCCTCCAGCTCGGCTCTTTCCTGCTACTGGTAAAGGGTGGCAGGGTCGTGGCTCTCTGGATGCTGCAAATAGCAACGTGAGGGGGAGAGAGCACACTTGGAGCTGAGGCCAGAGAAACTTGCGAAAGCCAGAAGAATTTGCTTTGCTTTGCAGACTGTCCCCCAAATGAGTGGTTTGGCTAAATCTGTGACTTTCAAACTGCTCCTTCGAGATGCCGCGGCGAGTGGGGAGGGAGGAGGGTAAGAGTGGGGAGGATCCTGTTCCATCTTAAATTGAACTTTTTCTGCTTGGGCATCTCCCACCCAAATTCCGCTTGGTATTTGATTTGGAAGGAAGGCGGCAATCATCTGAACCCCTGGATCTATTTCCAAGTTTCCTTGTGGCCATACGTTCCCGGCTGTGGCAGAAGGACATGAGGTTCCTGTAACAATAGTCCTGGAGCAGTCACTGCCTTGGGTCCCCGCTGAAACAAAAGCATTTCATCCCCTTGTACCAAACTGGCCTCCTGCATCTGCACATTCAGAGGGTCTCCTGGACTGAGCTGGTCGGGCCACAAACAGTGGGTGAGACAGAGATGAAGTGGCAACATGTGGCGGAGAATATTTCAGAAGTGGCCTCCCTTTGCCAAAACCTATGCTTTCCTATTTTCCAGCGTCTCCTCCATGGTTGAGCATGACCCATGGTAGGGACTTGTTTTCCCCCTCAGACCTTGTTAACAGAGAGCTTCAGGACCCAGAGCACGGTCGTAGGAGTCTGATGGAGGCTGAAGTCCTGGCTCTGATGCTTCACAGCTGTGGGCACTCGGCGTCTGACACCTCTGACACCGTTTCCCCACCTGTAAAATGGGACTCTCTCTCCACCTTCCTGTTAGTGTTGCTTCATTTAATCCCAAGCGTCCGACATTCCTGGCATGCAATAAATGCTTTGGCCATTGCTTCCTGAACCGGACCCTTAATACTACTCTACTCCCAGATTGATAAAATGCCACGTGCCTTATCTCTTGGAGATGTAAGGTAAAGCTCCTTGCTCCGGCACAAATCTGTTTCCAGCTGATAACCGTCTTGACCCTGGTTATTCTAGCTGACTAGTGAAACTCTTTGCAGATGGTGTTTTAAAGGGTGTCCTGGGGGCGGCTGGCTGGCTGTCAGGCTTAGTAGAGCATGTGACTCCTGACCTCAGAGTTGTGAGTTCAAGCCCTATGTTGGGTGTGGAGCCTACTTAAAAAAAAAAAAAGTGTTCAGGTCTTTTGGTCCTAAAAAGCATCTCTTGTTACAGAGCAGAATTTGAGATTACTTAAAAGTAGATGAAAGTCTAGAACGTGGTTCCTCTCTGGCTTGAGAGCCTAGTGCCAGGGCAGAGGCCCTGGGGCTTAGCCCACTTACTCTCTCAAGCTGTGGCTGGCTGGTGGCACTTTGATTAGGGAATTATCCTCAGAGGCCTGGTAGCTGCTGTTACGGCTCATGCCTCAGACACTATCATTTTGTTCTGACTCAAACTTTTTTTTTTTTTCATGGTCCTTTGCTGGTTCTTCTTTCTTTTAGGCCCTAACAGGAGTGTCTTTGAGACTTCGTTCTTGTTCTATTTTCAAACAGAGTTCATCTCTCTTAAGACCTTGGTCTTGACTCTCTACTTCTGGAATTCTGCTTGTCTACACTGTTCCATCCAAACTGATGTGTCTAAATTAGTCTTTCCTGCCCAAATTATTCCCAGCTGTTGTACACTCAAGACTAGAGTCCATAAACTCTGGTTTTTTAAAACAACTTAAAAAAATTATGCTTGAGAAAGAGAAAAAGGGGAAGAGATCCCAAGCAGGCTCCCCACTGTCAGCACCGAGCCTGACACGGGGCTCAAACTCCTGAACTGTGGGATCACAACCTGAGCCAAAATCAAGAGTCCAATGTTGAATCGACTGAACCACCCAGGCATCCCATCTCTGGTCATCTTTATCTAGTTTTCTCTGCAATGTTGTCTGGCTCATCCTGTATTCTTGGGAACAGATGGATATGCATTGCACACTCGTAAGAAATGTCTTTCCCAGCTGCCTTGTAGAAAGTTAAAACGTGGCCTTATTTGAATAACCTCCTCTAATTGGGGACCAACTCTTTGTGACCTACCACCCACCACCCTCATCCAACAAAGAGTTGAGTACCTACTTACTCTATGTCATGCATCGTGAAAGGGCTGAGGAATCGTAGCTAAGACACACATGACCCCATTGTCATTGGGAATACGGGGAGGAAGAGAAACAAGAAAATACTGGGTGGGTGGTAAAACCTGTGGAGATTATAGAACAGACTGGGAAGATCCTTAGATTCTTAGATAGGAATTCAAAGCATTGCTGCAGGTGAGGTAAGCTGGGGCCAGCTCACACAAGGTAGGTGTCATGGGGGGCCTGAGTTTTCTTCTAACCTCAGCAGGCAGCCAATGGAGGGTTTTAAAGCAGGGAGAATGAAATGATCAGGTTATCTTTAGGAGAGCACCTGGCTTCTGTGTATTGAACGGATTGGAATAGAACAATGGTAGAAGCAGGGAGAACCATTAGGATGCAGTTGCCATAGTGTGGCTGAAAGGTGATGGTGGCCTGGTCTGGCAATTTACCAAAGAGTTAGGAGTGGGTCATGCTGGAGGCCGTCCTGACCCAAGGGCTGGTGGATTGGGTGTGGGAGAAGAGGGCTGTCATCTTCCTGTCCTGGCCTGGTTTGGGCACCACCAGCCTGCACGTATGCTCTGGACAGAACTCCTTGGACACAGCCACACAAGGTGGTTCTGGGCTTGCCTTGCAGCCTACCCTAGCCACCAAGGGCCAGGTTCAAGTCAAACCGCCTTTAAAAGGCATCCCTTACTCCTGCAGCCCAGGGCTGGTCTCCTTTGTGCTTACATGGTGCTTGTTGCTTGTTGAGTGGTGGTGCCCATGGAAGCCGGCCTTCTGAGTTCATGCGCCGATCCTCTGGGGGCCCTTAAGGGCTTAGAGCAAGAATGGCTGTCACATAGGAACCCACACGCTGGGCACTGAAAATCTCCTGGTAAATGCCCTACCTATAGGTGGTCGACTTTTTCCAGTCAATATGCCGACTTTGGATGCTCCAGAAGAGAGGCTGAGAAAATTTAAGTATCGAGGCAAAGATGCATCTGTGAGTACCAAGTGACTGCTTTGCTCTATCCAGAAGTAGTGCAGTAAAAATTTCATGGTTGGGATGTATCCAAGATGGAGGGGAGGATGAGGATGTGGAGGGAGCACAGGTTAGATAATTTCCCCCAGGATTCTTGATAAAGTCAAGGAGTTTCTTCCGAACCAACATAAAAGGGTCTGTTTTGTTTGTTAATTTTAATCTCCCTCAGTCTGGTATCCAAAGCTGGATCAAGGCTCAAATGACCTGTAGACCAATCCCTAACCATGGAAATGGTCAGGGACATGTGGGGCCTCCCCTTCAGGGACTAATCAGCACTGATGAAGATGTGCTCAGACTCAGGGCAATGGAACACTTTGCTCAGATGGCTCTACAGCCAAGAGTCCTGGCCTGCTGAGGATGTAGAGAAGGCTTTCTTCACTTTGGGAAGAAGGTTAACTACTTTTCTGGATGTGGTGTTAGGAGAAAGCAGAGGAGGTAAACAGTGCTATTTACTGTATGATCTTAACTCTTCTGGACTGTCACATCTGTAAAAGGGAAATCAGACACTTTGAAGCGTGCTCTAAAAGCTAAGTGGGGGGGCGCCTGGGTGGCTCAGTCTGTTAAGCGTCTGACTTTGGCTCAGGTCATGTTCTCACTGTTTGAGCCCCGCATCGGGCTCTGTGCTGACAGCCAGCTCAGGGCCTGGAGCCTGTCTTTGTATTCTGCATCTCCCTCTCTCTCTGACCCTCCTCTGATCATGCTGTCTCTATTTGTCTCTCAAAAATAAATAAAACATAAAAAAAAATAATAAAAGCTAAATGGAGTGATGATCTGACTCCCCGGCTCTAAGGGTTCCAGTTCTTTCTTTTTCTTGCTAGATGAGGCGACAACAACGGATGGCAGTCAGCCTGGAGCTTCGGAAGGCCAAGAAAGAAGAGCAGGCCTTAAAGAGGAGAAATATCACCAGTGTCTCCTCTGACTCCGCTTCTGAACTAGCCAAAGGAGTATGTACGCTGGGGATATGGCATTGAGGATGGTGGTATGGGAGATATGTCCTTAGTAAGTTTCTCCGGCTTAAAAATGTTTAATACATTCAGAACTTGCAAGCTCTAATCAGGGATTTTTAAGGAGGGGGTGGAGAGATCATGAGTAGAAGGAAGCTGGTGGTGTCAGAAATCTAAGGGCCATTACCTTTGTGGCTGTGAGTCTGGGATCTGTGTTCTGGGTGAGATGGGGTGGATGAGGTGCGGCTTCTAATGGAAAGGAACTTGCCACCACTTGGCCAGAAATAAGAAATGAGGGGTTACATCTAGTCACCTGACACATAAAGTCTTGCCTAGGACCTGAGTGCTGTCCATTATCTTCTGTTCCCCATCCACCCCAACCTCCCTCAGTGCAGATTCTGTGTTGACGTACAGGCTAATGCTGGGTTGTTTTTTTTTTTTTTTTTTGCGGATCCTTTCCGGAATTCCCTGACTGGGGAAGTTCTCTGCTTAGACTCTGATAGTCTTGGATCTACATCCTTTTATGATCTGCCACTGTCTACATCCCAGCTTAATCACCCACGTGCATTATTGCACCCTGCTAGGCTTAGGACTCCTACAGGGCAGAGCTAAGTTCGACCTGGGCAAGTGGATTTAATGACACATTAGCCGCCATCAAATGGAATGGCTGTTTGCATTTTCTGACTTTCTGTATGTGGCTTCTTGCACTCAGCATAATGTTTTCAGGGTTCGTCCATGTTGTAACATATGTCAATACTTCATTCCTCCCCCCCCCAACCCCGAGTTTGTTTTTTTTGAGAGCATGTGTGTGTAAACATGGGATTGGTTGGGGGGCGGGCAGGGGGGGGTGGAAGAGAAGGTGGGAGAGTGAGGATGAATATCCCAAGCAGGCTCTATGATGTCAATGCAGAGCCCAACTTGGGGCTTGAACTCCTGAACCGTGAGATCATGAACTGAGCTGAACTCAAGGGTCAGAGGCTCAACTGACTGAGCCACCCATGTGCCCCAGGACTTCATTCCTTTTATGGCTGAATAATATTTCATTGTGTGGATATGCTGAGTTTTATTTATCCATTCATTAGTCCGTGGACATTTGTGTTGTTTCCACTTTTTGGCTATCATGAATAATGGTGCTTTGTGCACAAATGCTCGTGTGGACGTGTTTTCAGTTCTCTTGAGAACATGCCTAAGAGGAGAATTGCTGGGTTATATTGTCACCTTGTTTAACTCTTTGAGGCCCGAGGTAAATTGAACAGTGGCTCCGCCTCCAAATACCCCCATCTCTTAATCCCCAGAACCTGTAAACGTTGCCTTGTATGGGGAACTTTGTAGATGTGATTGTTAAGGATCTGGAGATGGAGAGATTATCCTGGATTACCTGGATGGACCCAGTGTAAGGATGAAGGACCAGTCAGATCAGGTGACATGACCACAAAAGCAGAGATTAGCATATTGTGCTTTGAAGATGGTGGAGGGGGTCACAAGTCAAGAAATGCAGGTGGCCTCACTAGTAGCTAAACAAGGCAAGGAAGCAGATTCTTCCCTCAAATCTCCAGGATGAGCCAGCCCCACTTTGGTCCAGTGAAACTGATCGTGAACTTCTGAGGTCCAGAACTATAAGATGTGGTGTTTCAAGCCACTAAATTTGTAGTAATTTTTATACAAACAATAGGAAACAAATATGTTGCCAAACTGTTTTCCAAAGTAGCTGTACCATTGCACATGCTGACCCTTACCAACACTTGTCTGTTCTGGGATTGTAGCTATCTAGTGGGTACAAAGGGCTATATTGTTGCAATTTTGGTATGTCTTCCTAACGACTAATGATGATTATTTTTTGACGGGCTTCCTGGCCATTTATGTATCTTTTTGGAGAAATGTCTATCCAAACCCTTTGCTCATTTTTTTTTTTTTTCCTTTGCTCATTTTAAAAATTGAGTAATTTGACTTGGTCTTGTTGGGAAGGTCTAAGAGTTCTTTATACTGCCTATTCTGGATGCTAGGCCCTTATTTGCAAATATTTCCTTTTACTCTGCAGATTGTCTTTTTTACTTTTTTGGTATAATCCTTGAACAAAAGTTTTAAATTTTGAAACTGTTCTATTTATCTACTCTTTTATTTGGTTGCTTGTGCTTTAGGTATCATATTTAAGAATCCATTACCTTGGGTGCCTGGATGGCTCAGTCAGTTAAGCAACTTCAGCTCAGGTCATGATCTCATGGTTTGTGAGTTCAAGCCCTGCATCAGGCTCTCTGGTGTCAGAACAGAGCCTGCTTCGGATCCTCTGTCTCCCTCTCTCTGCTCCTCCCCCACACGTGCGTGAGCTCCCTTTCCCTCTTCCTCTCTAAAGTAATAAACATGGGGGGAAAAAAAAGAATCCATTGCCTGATCCAAGGTCACAAAGATTTATGTCCAAGTTTCCTTCTAAGAGTTTTATAGTGTTAGCTGTTACATTTAGACCTTTGATCCATTTTGAATAAACTTTTGTAAATGGTGTGAGTAGGATCCAATTTCATCATCCCATATGTGGGTATCTCCTTGTCCCAGTATCAAAAAGACCATCCTTTCCCCACCAAATGGTGTCAAATCCCTGGTCTAACATCAGCTGACTGTAAATGTGAGAGTTTATTTGTGGACTCTGGATTCTCTTCCATTGATCAGTGCATTTACCCTATGTCAGCACAGCACAGACTTGATGACGGTAGCTTTGTGCTGGTTTTGATAGCGGAAAGTGCCTTCCAACTTGGTTCTTCTTTTTCAAGATTATTTTAGCTATTTGGGAAATCCCCTGCATTTCCATCTAAATTTTGAAGCGACTTGCCAATTTTTTATTAAAAAAATTTTTTAATTCTTTTTCTTCCTCCTCCCCCACCCAATTTGCCAATTTCTCCTATCAACACAGCTCAGATTTTAATGGAGATTATGCTGAATCTGTAGACCAATTTATGAGTATTGCCATCTTAACATTAAATCTTCCAACTCCTGATCATGGGGTATATTTTAATGTATTAGGCCCTCTCTAATTTGTTTTTTTATAGTTTCAGCATGTGTGTCATGCACTACTTTTGCTAAATTTATTCCCAAGTATTTTATTCTTTTTGATGTTACTGTAAATACAATTATTTTCTTAATTTCAGTTTTGAATTGTTCATTGCTACTATATAGAAATACAAGTGATTTTTATGTTAACTCTGCAGCCTAGCTGAATCTTATTAGCTCTAATTAATGTGTATGTGGGGGGATTCTGTAGAATGTTCCATATACAAGTTTTTGTCTTCTGCAAATAGGGACAATTTTACTTATTCCAATCTGGATGACTTTGCTTTTTTTAATCTGTGTAGAACTTCCAATACTATGTTGAATAAAAGCAAGGAGAGTGGGCACCCTTGTCTTGTTCCTGATATTAAGGGGAAAGCATTCCATCTGTTACCATTAATTGTGATACTGGAGGGTTTTTTTATTTTTTATTTTTATAGATGACCTTATGAGGTTAAGGAAGTTTCCTTTTATTTCCAGCTATTTTATCATGGAAGGGTGGTTGAATTTTGTCAAATGCTTTTATCCTGGATTTATTGAGATGATCGTGTACTTCCCCCCATAATCTATTACTACATCCTACTACATTGGGGTTCATGTGTTGAACTTCTCCTGCCTTCCCAGATTGAATCTTAGTTGGTCAGAATGTATAATCCTGTTTATATGTTGATGCATTTTGTTTCCTAGAATTTTTTTTCCAAGATTAGCTGTTTTTCTTGAATAATCTCTTTTTGGCTCAAATAAAATAAATTGAGCTATCAGCCTTTTGTCAGTTTCTAGAGTTTGGAAGGTTGATTCCACTTTTGATGGTGGTGTTCTGGAGGAGAAAATTTTTAGAGGTCCTTACTCTGCCATTTTGCTAGTCTATCACTAGCATGTTCTTCATGGAACAAAAAGGTGCTGGGGATCCAAGTGACTACAGGAATTACCCCTTCCCCAGAGCATGGGGATGGTCCCACAGATCTGTGAGTCCTATAAGACACCAAATGTCCTTCTTTCCCCTAATGTAGACCAGCATACTGCCCAAGCCAGCTTGTTCTAATCAGATAGATGGCTAGACTAGATGACCTTCATGGTTCCTTTAGGCAGAGACTCTGACCTGAAAGCATCTCTCCTTGCAGGTCAGCCTCAACCTGCAAGAAATAATCAATGGTGTGAATGCCTCAGATCCAGACCTATGTTTCCAGGCCACCCAGGCAGCCAGGTAAGGTCAAACAGACTTCTGCTGTTTCATAGGTTCCAAGCTAGAAATAAGCTCCAGTGGCCTAGGGGGTTTTGGGGCAGTGGCAAAATGCCCACACAATGTAAGAAAAGGTGAGTCCATTCAAAAGTGAGATGAAATTGTTCCTCTACACTGTCCTTGAGAACATTTTAAGATATGCAAGTGTTGTCAGAGATGAATTGCTTAATTTAAATTGGCCTCTATAGGAATCTTGGCTCATTGATAATACCTGAAGAGAAAAATGTTTCATCACTGCAAAGTGCCATGGGCTGGACTTGAGGATATTAAGTAGCTCTGGCCCAACTGTTAGTCTCATTTGATAGCTAGGAATGCCAAGAACATTTATAAAAGGAGGTTCTTAATATCAGCCTCACATGACTTGGTTTTATTATTTTTTCCTCTTTCATCTCAAAGGAAAATGTTGTCCCGTGAAAGGAACCCTCCTCTAAAACTGATTGTTGAAGCCGGGCTCATTCCCAGGCTGGTAGAGTTCCTGAAGTCATCACTTCATCCCTGCTTGCAGTTTGAGGCAGCCTGGGCTTTGACCAACATTGCCTCTGGGACTTCGGAGCAGACTCAGGCTGTTGTGGAAAGTGGGGCCATCCAACCTTTGGTTGAGCTCCTGTCTTCCCCCCACATGACTGTGTGTGAACAGGCAGTGTGGGCCCTTGGTAATATAGCAGGTAAGACTCTCCCCACAAGGGGCCAGGAAACAGGTGGGTCATGCATCTGGCATGCTATGGGACTTCTTTGGGTAGCATCATAGACTCACTCGATCCTCTGACTTTAAATATCTAGAAACAATGGGGAGAGTCTGACAGGCTTTTCCAAAATTTAGAGTCAAGTTCAGAGGCTGAAAATTAAAGCTGAAAACAGATGATGCAGTATGTACTGAAAGCTACAGGCTGCCTAAGGCCACTTGCCAATACTGGTGTCCTACAGCCTTGGGTTTCAATGGCCTCAGGAACAAAAGACAAGCCTTTGATGCATGCACTGTGATGTTTATGACACACCCATTCATAATCCAGGATCCTGAAAAATTCTACCTCCAGCAACAGTTGTCAAGGGAACGTACCAAAAAATAATATTTCTTCAGCTTGGGGTAAAAGTCTTCCCTGAAAATGCAATCCTAAAATGACCTCATAAATTTGGGGCTTGCTGCTGTATTCCCTGTATTGGGCCAGGAAAGCATAAGCTGAGGAGTTAGTGCTGCAGGGTTGAAAGTTCTGGCATTCCTGACTGGATATAAATACAATGCTCTTGGGGGCATATGAACTCAATTGGGCCCCTCTGGATTTTGACAAATTAAGATCAGCCAAATATTAGCAGTTTCAAATTCAGAGAGTCAACAACCCACCACGACTGAGTCAGCAGAAACAAACACTGTGATGAGACCTCCAAGGACTTCAGATGTTGGGATTAGCAAACACAGAATATAAAGTAAGTTTGCTCGTTAAATGCTTGCAGAAATGAAGCACCTATCACTTTGTCCCTCAATTTGTCTGGTTCAGTAAGGAACAGACAATATTGGGTGGTATAAAGTAACACATGTTTTGTCCTGGTGGTTGAAGAATCACAAATGGAGACTTCTAGGGTCTCAAATTGGTATTTTTGCCCGAGTAGCAGATGGCAGATGGCTAGCATCTACCCATCCCCCAGACTTGGTTTTGAGTTGCCTTTGGAAGCTTCCACCCCATGCCAAAGCCTCCTGGGAAGACAATTTGGCCTGCAGTAGCTTCTATCTTCTTGAGAACTGTGCTATGAAGTACCACCAACACTTAGAGCCTCGAGGTCACTTCCTGGGCCCATTGGCTGGCTCCTTTGTTTCCAGACTGCCTATAACAGTCGTTGTGTGGTGCCTGCTCTTCATATCTAGTCTCTCTACCCAACTGACAAGATGAAGACCCAGGATCTAGTTCATGGGTATCCTAAGTACTTGCCCAGCCCAAGAATGCATTTTGGCATCTTACCCTTTGCACAGGCTTTTGAATTATTAGTTACTTACTCCCAGGATTCTCTTTGTTCCCTGTTCAAATCCCACATTCTTATCTATTTGAAGGTGATGGCCCAGAATTCAGAGACCTGGTTATCTCAAGCAATGCCATTCCACATCTGCTGGCCCTGGTTTCATCAACCATACCAGTAAGTGTCTTTAATGTAGTAAAACTAGCTAGCTAACATGTTTCCAAAATTGGGGAAGTACTTTCAAGTCAATGTTGGGTCATATGGGTGCTACCTTGCCCCTTATGACCATAATTATAAGCAGGACCTAGGATTGAATATCCCCTTGGATAAAAGTTGGTCCAAATTTGGCCCCGGGGCCACGAGTGCTGATTTTACTTTGGCGGGGTCGGTCGGGGCGGGGGGGGCATTGGAAAAGTTCCATTAAGATTTATCTAAAATTACAGTCCTGCAAAAGTATATGACAAAGCTCTCCATTCAAGGGGCATGGGTAGAATTAATGGGTCACCAGTTCTGCTCCTGGGTACTGGGTCTTGGTTTGAAGCTTAGAGTCAAAGTTGACTGATGTGGCAACAATAGAGGACACCCCCCCAGATAAATGTGGGCTCTAGATTAGCTTCAAAGAAAAATGAAGAGAAAGTAGCTTCTAAAAGCCAAGGGAATACCCAGCCCTCAGGGTCAGAGAAAACTTGAGTTAGTGGAACCAGAGAAAGGCTGACATGACCAGGGAGTTTACAAAGAGAGAGCAGTGTAAGAGCAGAGCACATAGAGCAAAGAACTTAGATGTCCTCCCAATGGCAGAGGGAAGCCTTTGAAGGATCTCAAAGCAAAGAGTGAAGTGATCTGGTCTTTTAGAAAGACCATTCTGGCTGCTTGAAAAATGATAGCAAATGAAGATGGGATGCTGCCATGTTGGACATGTGAGATATAAAGAAGCAAGGATGCCCTCCAGTTTGAAGTTAGGCTGTTGAGATGACTGTCCTTCTAGAGAAATGGGAAGATGGAGGGGAGAAGGAAACAGAGCCTTAGTTGTACATATTAAGTTGAAGAGTGTGAGAGGCAGGCACCATTGTAGCAATGTCAGGTAGATGGATAATGCATGTCTAGATGATTGTGCACGTATCTGTCATCCAGCCAGGCAAGATTAGCTAGAGCAGGGGCCAGATGCTTACTTTTATAAATAAAGTTTTATTGGAGCACAGCCATCCCCATTTATTTATACCCATATTGTCTGTTGCTTTTGTAATGTTATAAGGGCAAAGATGATTAGTTGCAACAGAGAGACCCGAGACCCTGTGGCCCATAAAGCTGAAAGTGTTTACTGTCTGGCCTTCTGCAGAAAGAGTTTGCCCCAACCCCTGACCTAGAGTATGAGGAGAACCTAGGACCGAGTCTCAAGGGTTCTGACATTCAGAACTTACCCCAAAGACTGAGAAGAAACAGCCCCTTTGGAAATAGAAATGCAGGTTTGGGGTCCTAGGTGCCAAGAAGAGCTTTTTCAAGAAGGGTACTAAATACTGCTGATAGGGATGGTAACTTTAAGACTGAAAAGGCAGCCGTTGGATTTGGTGACTTGGAAGAAGCTAATTTCATCACAAAGTAAAAAGAAGTAGAGGCAGAAATCAGACCAGAAGGGATGGAAGAACAAATAAGCTACAAGGTAGACAGCAAACAGAGACACATCCTTAAGGGCTGGCCTCTAAAAAATAGAAGCAGGACTATGGCTATATAGATGGAAGGTCCCAGAGTGTGGGAGTGATTCAGGGGAGAGAGATGATCATGGGGACAGAATCTTCAAAGGCAAAAATAGGATTCAGATGTGGAGTAGGAAGACTGACCCCTGAAAAAAGATAAGAAATGTGGTTGCCACATGTCAGTAGGGTTACTAGGCAGACCAAGCAACTCCTGCTTGACCTTTGTTTTGTCAATGAGAAATAAAAATAGGGTCATCAACTGAGTCCAAATGGGAGGGACATTTTGAATAATCAAAGGAAACCTCCATCTAACATTTGAATATGAAACTTAAGCTCATTCTTGGTCTCCCTAGTACGCATCACTACTGAGAACAGAGTCTGCATGAAGCTCAAAGGCTTTGCTTCACGCCAGTCAATAATATCGATCAAAGATGGCCAGGACATGCAGCTATTGGCCTTTTTCCTTCTTTGCCCCCAATGCTGGAAATGGTCTCCTTGTTACAGATCACGTTTCTGCGAAACATCACATGGACTTTGTCCAATCTTTGCCGAAACAAGAGCCCTTACCCCTGCAAGAAAGCAGTGAAACAAATGTTGCCCGTGCTCTTCCACCTCCTGCAGCACCAAGATGGCGAGGTTCTCTCAGACACCTGCTGGGCCCTGTCCTACCTCAGTGATGGCTGTAATGAGCGCATCGGCCAAGTGGTAGACACGGGGGTCCTGCCTAGGCTGGTCCAGCTCATGACCAGCTCGGAGCTCAATATCTTGGTAAATGTCCCTGGTCCCATCTCTCTCTGTCCTAGCCTTCTGACTAACATGTGGGAGTCAGACTCAACTTGAGCAAGACCTCTCCCACCATCAGCTCTTAATACTTTATCTAGAACAAAGCTTATTGTCTGCAATGCCCTGTTCTCTGCTGCTCTCTAGCCAAGGACTTGAATCTTTTTTTTTTTTATCAAAAAGCCTAGTGGATATTAAGTAAGTTATTTTTTCTTAATCTGGTAACTAGAAAGTATAGAAAAGCACCACACTGAAATTGTTTCTAATTCCTCCACCCAGTAAACTATTCTTTTTGTGGCCTTTCCTTCTAGTGGTCTGTGCATGTGGATGTTAACCAGTTGGCTAATACAGGGTATGTGTGCACTAATGTAAAGCTCATTATAACATTTTAATTTCTTACTCAAGGGTAAAAGAAAATTCCCTCTTACCCTCTCCCCAGTTTATTAGGCTACTGAAGTAGTCTAGGTAAAAATAAAACATAGGTAAAAATGAAACAAAACGAACATCAAATACTTGACTAGGATAGGAAACATGCCACTTATAAGCTTGAAGAAAGTGCCTTAAAACATGGGTGCTGTTTTTGACTTCTGTGGTTAGCCTTGTATATTTATGCAGCCTTTGGAGTTATTTATGCCTAGATTAGCATATATTATTCAGACATGAAGGTTAGTTTGAGGGGATGGTATTGGGGGGAGGGAGGGTATGAAGAGAATATAAGAAGCTGTATGTCCTGGGGGTCTAGGGCCCATTTGGACCCATCTTGGTGAGGCTGTGATTGGCCTATAGCACTGCTTCCACCTCTCACTTGAGTAGCAGATACCTAGCATGAAAGGCTAGGAAAACTCTAGAACTGTTGATGTTCTGTGCTAGGGCAGCCACTATGGTGCAGAGAAACCAAAATGAGTGCACAGTCAGCCCGCAGAGGACCATTGTTTTGAGCCCAATTGCAGACCCATCCTGGGGACCTTCAGAGTTGAGAGGGCATTTGTGAATACATCAAAAAATGCCATTGGGATCTCATTAGCTCCAATTAAATATACAACAGGAACTTGACACTCATGCTAAATATGAATTCAGTAGAAGTTATTGCATTATAAATACTGTAATCAATTTAGCCATTTTTCCCAGCATAAGGCTATGAAAAGGGCAGCATTGCTTCTTAATAAAGGCAATCCCTTGACCTCTGTCTCCCTGAAGCTGGTGCTGTTGAGAGGTGAGCAAGTACCTTGAAACTATGCAAATAGCCATGAATGTGCTGAATTAGTAAGGATCATGGATTTAATAATTATTCATACGTTTCCTGAGCACCGTCAACATAGCATGATGCATATTTGGGAGTGCACAGAGCTTGGTGTGACTGTCCCCTTCTGTTGTGATAAATTGGCAATGCCTGCTTACACTCACAGCCTTGTTCTTGCAGACCCCCTCTCTCCGCACCGTGGGGAACATAGTCACAGGAACGGATCACCAGACCCAGGTGGCCATTGACGCAGGCATCCTGAATGTGCTGCCCCAGCTCCTCATGCACCCCAAGTCCTCCATCCAGAAGGAGGCAGCTTGGGCCTTGAGCAACGTGGCTGCAGGGCCCTGCCAGCACATCCAGCAGCTGATTGCTTGTGGCACGCTGCCTCCCTTGGTGGCTCTGCTAAAAAATGTAAGTGGTGCACTCTGTGTCAAAAGGCTATTTTCCAATTGGCCCCATGTTGAACTCCTTCAGGAATTTAAGCACAGCCTTGGAAGCAAATTAATCAAGATCACAACAGAGATATGAAACCTTAGTTTCCTAACTCTCCCTGGGAAAGAAAGGAAGAGACATCCTATTTGGGACAACCCATTAAAGATGTAGGAGACTAAACAACCATTGTGTATTGAAAAGGTGATCCATCCCTCCCCCCCGCCCCCCGCCAGCTCAAATATTCAGAAAAAAAATCCTGAGCTGATAAATATTGGCTTATCTTTGGTGTTAGAAGAATGTGCCATCCACTCTACTTGCCAAAAGAGGGGGGAAGTTTTGTTATGTTTGAGGAGGAAGAACCTATCGGGTTATGGTGATATTGTACACTGGAGAAAGGTGACATTTTCTTTGTAAAAAATCCCATTGATCAGAGTGGTAATACATACTCAAAATCCAGATATAAAAGTAGAAATAAAACAATGCCTCCTTCCTCCTCCTGATTCCCACTTCCCTCCCCAGGACAACTCCTATTCATCAGCATTTCTTTTTGACCCCTTTGGATGGATGGGCTCAGTTTGAATCATCTACAGGTGACACAAGCCAGGAGTGGTTATGTCTGGTTGGGGGCGGGGAGGCAAGTGGTATAGGATGGGGAAGAGAAGCTGCCGGTGGTATTCCTGCCCTGAGGTTGGATGATGGGTTCCTGGGTGTGCAACCTGAATCAAGGCATCTTCTGATCTATTAGATGCTTCTTATCCTGTGTGCTACCATGAGGTGGTATAGATTCTCATCAGAAACGTCCAGTAATGGGGGCGCTTGGGTGGTTCAGTCGGTTAAGCATCCAACTTCAGCTCAGGTCATGATCTCGCCGTCCCTAAGAGTTCGAACCTGCATCGGGCTCTGTGCTGACAGCTCAGAACCTGGAGCCTGCTTTGGATTCTGTGTTTCCCTCTCTCCTTGCAACCCCCTTGCATGCGCTTGCTTGCTCTCTCTCTCTCTCTCTCAAAAGTAAACATTAAAAAACATTTTAAAAAAATCCAGTCATGAATCAAAAAGTAATATTATTTCAAATTGCCTTTTGAACTACTGCTGGCCTGGAGCCCTAAGTGGTTACTGAATTTTCTTTCTTTTTTTTTTTTTTTTTTTAACTGAGTCAGTTTTTCCCGGCCATGAAATGGGAATAACTCCTTCTGCCCAGGGATAGAAGGATCTATGATAAATTCCTCCCGGATCTCTGGGCAAAGTGTTTTTTATAAATGCAAGGAATGCATTGAGTGATACTTCAGTGGCCTTCATCTGACATCTCCAGACTGGCCCACTCCCTGACATCACTTCGTGTGCTCAGCTTTGTAGCTATGGAGCTTCTTGTCCATAGTTTTGCTGCATCAGAAAGACTAGGAATGTTGACCTATGTCACTATAATCTAAAATTCCAGGGGTGCCTGTGATGGTTCAGTTGGCTAAATGTCCGACTTTGACTCAGGTCATGATCTCATGGCTCAGATCCCACTTTGGGCTCTGTGCTGACAGCTCAGAGCTTGGAGCCTGCTTCAGATTCTGTGTCCCTTTTTCTCTTTTCCTCTCCTTTTTTTTGTTTTTCTCTCTCTCTCTCTCTCTCTCAAAAGTAAACATTAAAAAATAAAGTAATTCCAAAGATAATTTCTAATATATATAGATTATCTGGATTTGTTTATGTCGGTTATATTATTCCAATAACCTGACTTAAGGAAATGAGTCAATTTCAACTTAGAACCTCCCTCTAAGTTCCCATGGGAGCCTGTCTGTTTCTTGGCTTCTCAAAGATGCTCTCTTCTGTTCAAGAACTAGAGGCAGGTTGCTGAGGTATTCCGTGTAAATTATATATACTGTCGTGGCTATCACTAGCCTACCTAGAAATTGAACTAAGTTAACATCACTATATTTAAGTTCTTCAGGATCCATAATGAATGTAAATATTCTTTCTTCAGGGAGAATTTAAAGTCCAGAAAGAGGCTGTTTGGACCGTGGCTAACTTTACAACTGGAGGCACCATAGACCAGTTGATCCAGCTTGTCCACTCTGGAGTATTGGAGCCACTGGTGAATCTGCTTACCACCCAAGATCCCAAAATTGTTATCATAATCCTTGATGTTATCTCTCTTATCCTCAAGGTGAGCTGTTCTAAGCAAGTTGGTTTCTATATAGCCATCTCCAAATTTAAGGCACTTATTTTGGTTCTTAAAACTCCTATGTGGATTCTCTTTCCACTCTGCCACCCCTCCTCCTGTTCATATATCCTATGGATAACAAAAACAAGAGGGCATTCAAAGAAGGCCCATCCTGATTTTTTCAAGTGAGTGACCACATGCCCAGCATTGTTTTAGGTGCTCAGGATACCACAGAACAAAGTCCTCACTCTGGTAGAGCTTCTATATTAATGGGGAGAGGAACAGACCCAGAAGTTGGGAGTTTATCTGATAAAAGGGCAGTTGCTGATGGCTCAGAGTGGGAAGGGAATAGGGATTCCTTCAATGTAGTAGTCAGGAGCATCTGGTCTCAGGAAGAACACTTTTGCAAAGACCAAAGAGAAATGAGTGAATCTTGTGGATATCTGGGAAAGAATGCCCAAGGATAGGTTGGAGCAAAGGGATGGAAGGTGGTGGTCAGGCTCAGGGGATCCAGATCACATAAGGTAGGGGAGAACTTTGGCTTACTCTGAGTGAGATGGAGAAACCAATCAAAGGTTTGAAGCCAGGAAAAGCAGGCCTGCGAACCATATGGCTGGCTCTTTTAGAAGACTAAAGCATAGGATACACTTAAAAGAGTAGTAAGAAGTTAGCAGGGATAGATGCTGAAACTGACTACAAAGAAAGCCTTGAATTAGAACTCCAGGAAAGTCTTATTTCTGAAATAAAGGCAGAATAAGCCAGTCTTCATAAACCATTTGTGTCAGTTCTATATTGCTACATAACCAGTTACTCCCCAGTGGTCTGAAACAAATATAGTAAAACCTTGGATTGCGAGTATTCCGCAAGACAAGCAAGCATTTCTAATAAATTCTAACTTGATAAACAAGCTATTCCTTGCAATATGAGTTGCACATGTTGCCAAGTGTCACATGAGCACAAGTGAGCCAATGGTTCTTCTCTCTCTTGCTATGGGATTGTGGGTGATTGTCTCCCATGTTCGGATGCTGATGCTAAGTCTCAGGCTGCGGTGTTTGGCAGAAATTGGTGATTTTTCAGAATGTTAGAAGGTTCTCACAACTGGCACTAGTGTATTTTTTGTCACTTCAAAGCATCTATGGACAGTCCTTTGCTTTTCCATACAAGAGTAAGCTTAGGAATTCTTTGTTTCATTCTAGGTCAGGTTGCCTGCAGATATAGATCCTTTACTCTGTGCCTTATTGCTAGTTATGTTAAATACAGTATATGGCAAGAGTTTATTAATTACTGTAGTCAACATCCATGTGAACGTGTACAATGGCTCCTATGCAGAAAAAAGTTGAAGAGACAGATGGCAATAAGGAGATGATTGTGGTGGAAGTTAAGAAGGAAGTCGAGAAATACGAACGGGGTATGTGAGTGGCTGAAATTGTAAGATTTTAGAAGAAGGCCATGTCAACCATTTGCACAGTAGTAAAGAAGAAAAGAGTTAGATGCAGCAAAAGGAGTTACAAGAATATCAAAGCAATGGCCACATGTTCTGAAAGATATAGAAAAGTTGCTCCTGTTTTAGATAAATAAGAAGCAACTAGCAGGTGATACTTTGACTGAGAACTTTATCTGCAAGAAGGCAAAGGCCTTGTACACTGACTTGTAAGTAAACTGCCATGTATGTCAACAGAAAATGAAGTCTTCAAAGCAAGCACAGAATGGTTTGATAATTTTAAGAGAAGTGGCATCCATAGTGTTGTGAGGCACAGAGAGGTAGGGGTTTGGATGCTAAGGCAGCTGAAGTGTTCACTACCAGGTTCCAGAAGCTCATGGTTTCCAAGTGTTACTGCTGGTGCACATTTTTAACTGTAATAAGATGGGGTTTTTGAAATCGATGCCAAAGAGAACCTACGTGATAGAAGAGAACATGCAATGCCCAGTCACAAGCACATGAAAGACTGTCTCACCCTCTTGTTTTGTGCTAATGCAAGTGGAGATTTCAAAGTCAAGCCCCTGCTCCTATATCATTCTGAGAATCCATAAGCCTTCAGTAAATGCAAGGTGCAGAAGAGCCAGTTGAAAGTTATATGGAGGTCCAACAGCAAGGATTGGGTCACTTGTGTCTTATTCATTGAATGGATCAATGAGGTTTATGGTCCTGCAGTGAAGAAATGCCTTTTAGAAAAGAATCTGCTACTCAAAGCCTTACTAGTTATGGATAATGCTCCTGCTCATCCTCCAGGCTTTGAGGACAACTTACTGAAGGAATTTGAGTTCACGAAGGTCCAGTTCTTTCCTCCCAACACCACTCCAATTCTCCAGCCCATGGATCAGGAGGTTTATTTTGAATTTTAAAAAGCTTTCACACCAAAGCACCATTTCAGCAATGCTTCAGGGTGACCGAAGGAACAAACCTTACCCTCAGAGTTTTGGGAAAATCATTTCAACATCATGAACTGCCTCAATATCATTGATAAAGCCTGGTATGAGGTCACCAAGAGAACCCTCCATTCTTCTTGAACATTGTGGCCTGATTGCATTCTTGGACATGACTTAGAGGAGCTTGCTTATGAATAGGAGCTGCCGTTTGTTTACAGAATTGTGTTCTTGGGGAAGACCATGGGACTAAAAGTGAATAAGGATGACATTCAAGAGCTGGTAGAAGAACATGGTCAGGAGCTGACCACTGACAAACTGATGGATCTGCATCACGAGTAACAGCAAGAGTTTACGGAGGAGATTTCTCTGCACAGGAGAGGAGAAAAAGGCAAAGGAATTCCTCACTTCAACTAAGACTAGGAAGACGTGTAAAATGTGGGAAACCATGCAAAATTTTGTTGAAAAGCACCACCCGAATAAGGCTGTAGCAGTGTGAGCAATGAATCTGTTTAACAATACAATGTTATTTCTGCAAAATCCTCAAAAGGGGCAAAAACAAGTATCACTAGATACATTCCTTGTTAAAGTTGCATGAAAAGAAAAAGATTCTATTGAGCCAATAGATAGCAGTGATTCCGCAGTGATTCCATTAGTGAGAGTGAAGGTCATCCTACACAATAACCCTCCTCTCTCTTGTCTCCCTCATACCAGCCACAAAGGTTTTCAAAGGTAAGTGCAGGTTAATTTGTTTTTCTTTATATTTTGTATTTTCTTATTTTGTATTATATTACAGTATTTTAATCATTTTTATATGAATATTTTGGGGTTGTGGAATGATTCATCTGAGTTTCCATTATTTCTTATGGGGAAATTTGCTTTGATATACAAGCGTATTGGATTATGAGCATGTTTCTGGAACGAATTATAGTCCCCAATTGAGCTTTTACTGTATTATCTCCCCTAGTTTCTGGGGTTAGGAATCTGGGGACAGCTTAGCTGGATGGTTCTGGCTCAGGGTCTATCATGAGATTCAAGGTATCAACTGGGGCTGCAGTCTCCTCTGAAGGCTTGATGGAGGCTGGAGAAGCAGCTTTCAAGGTGGCTCACTCATATGCCTGGAAAGTTTTTGTCACCACCTAGAGCTCCTCATAGGACCATTTTGGTGTCTTCACACCGTGGCAGCTGGCTTCCCCTGTCACAAGCAGTCTAGGAAAGCAAGGTGGAAGCCCCAGTGGTTTTTATGAGCTAGCCTTGTAAGTCACTCCAACAACATCCTATTGGTTACACAGATCAGCCCCACTCAACATGGGAGGAAACTATACAAGGGTGTGTATATCAAGAGTCAGAGATCATCTGAGGCCATCTTGAAGGCTGGCTATATTCATCTGGTTAAGGTCCTTTTATATGCAACAAAGCCATTTGAAAAATTTCAAAGTAACACCAGGGGATTCCTTTTAAAAGCTCACTTTAAGCATCCTTTTCATGTAACTGTCTTGGAAAGAACTGACCTGAGTTAAAAACAGATTTGAAATGGCACCCAATTAGACACAAAGACTGAGGAAATCACACGGATGAAACATAGAGACTTGGCCACCCGTAGACAAAGTTGGACATAATGACATAACACATTTGTGAAAGCACACTTGTGAGCTGTAGAAATTGAACTTCATCTGTTTCATTTGAATTAGACATTTGGGGTTGTTTTTCCCCTTGGGGGCGTCTGGGAAAACCACATCTGATAGATCAGAGTGAGGCACTGGAATAGCAGGTTCGGAGGATGAGGTAGGCGAGAGCCTCAAATGGCTGGCAGAGTGCAGCTGAAGTTCTTTGAAGCGACTTTGGGGATGTTTGCTCTTCTGCCAACATCCAGAATCCTTCTCTAGGGCTCTGCTTGCCCTGGATCATCTCACATCCCCCAGCTTGCTTTCTGAGGGTATCCTAGCCCATTGGCCTTGCCTTGGTTTCTTTGCTCAAAGCCAAAACTCATTTTGGATCCCAGATAGGACTGGAGAATGTCTGGGTTTAGACATAACAGTACAAACTCTGATCAGGTAGACAGTGTGACCTAAATGTTTAATTTGAACCACAGGAGGTTTTCTTATTACTGCTCACAAAATAAAGAGCAGAGCCCTTCAGGAGAGGACACCAAAGCTTTTTCTTTATTTCTCTTTGCTTCTCCCAAATAGGCTATTTTGCTAACACTTCTAATGTGCAACACTTAATCCTTTAAAACTTTGTCCTTGCCATTCCTTGTTTTGGAAATGCTACCAATTTCCTATGGTTGATGCTGGCATAGCATTGTTGGTCAAAAACATGTATTACTTCCCAAGCCTTTTATGCACATCTTCTTCTTCTTCTTCTTTTTTTTTTTTTTTAACAGATAGTTTATTGTCAAGTTGGTTTCCATATAACACCCAGTGCTCATCCCCACAAGTGCCCTCCTCCATGCCCATCTCCCCCCCCCCCACATCCATCAGTCCGCAGTTTTTGTCAGCATTCAAGAGTCTCTCATGGTTTGCCTCTCTCCCTCTCCCCTACTATTTCCCCCTTCTTCTCCCCCATGGTCCTCCGTTAAGTTCCTCCTAATCCTCCTATACGTATGCACATCTTCTATAATGTAAACCACTGATCATTTACTGCAGTATTCTTTCTGTACTGCAACAATTATTTACCTACCTGACCCAATAATATGAGTTATGAAAGGGCCTTTGCTTTTTTTTTTTAATTTTTTTAATGTTTTATTTATTTTTGAGAGAGAGAGACAGCATGAGCAGGGGAGGGTCAGAGAGAGAAGGAGTCACAGAATCTGAAGACAGGCTCCAGGCTCTGAGCTAGCTGTCATCACAGAGCCCTACGCGGGGCTTTAACCCATGAACCGTGAGATCATGACCTGAGCCGAAGTTGGATGCTTAACCAACTGAGCCACCCAGGTGCCCCTAAAAGGGCCTTTTCTAAATCCCATCTTGAGCTCTAGTTTTGTAGGCCTCACCCACAGTCTGTATACAAACGTTTGAATGAGTGAATAGCCCCAGATGATAAATCCAATGATCAGCACTGGATTAAATCCTCTCCTGTTACTTGTTTCCAGGGACTTGGTTATTTGCCATGGTGTTGCTATGGGTCCCCTTAGTCTTCCGTCTCACGGCTTTATGGCGAGGGTGGGATCAGAACACCTGTATTTATTTATTTATTTTTTAAATGTT